AAGAGTTATTAAACTACCCTTTGATCCACCAATACCACTACTTGGTCTATTGCCAAATTAGGGAAAAAGGAAAAGAACCTACATGTTCTAAAATGTTTATAGCAATTCTCTTTGTGATCACAAAAAAAAACCTGGAAATTGCAGGGATGCCCATCACTTGGGGAATGGCTGAACAAGTTGTAGAATATGATTGTGATGGAATACTACTGTGCTATAAGAAATTAAGAGCTCACTGATTTTAGAAAAACATGGAAAGATGCACAAATAATGAAGAGTGAAATGGGCAGAACCAAGAGAACATTGCATACAATAACAGCAGTATTGTTTTAAGAACAACTTTGAGTGAATAAGTTATTTTGACTATTATAAATACCCAAATTAGCTATAAAGGACATATGAAGAAAGATACTATCTGTATCCAAAGAAAGAATTAATAAATAGAAGTATGTATAGAACAAGTATATATATATATATATATATATATGTACATATATATACACACATATACATATATACATATACATACATACATATGTACATATATGTACACACACATATGTGTGTGTGTGTGTATATATATATATATATATATATATACCTATTTATGTCTAATAGTAACCATCTCTAGGGTTGGGAGGGGAATTTTCCATGATAACTGTGTTGCATATTTTAAAGGAATGGCAAGCTGTGCATAGTAGATTTGCAGTTTCATGCGCAATCATCTTTTTTTATTGTATTATGTTATAGAAATGCTTGTTTTATTTCACAAATTAAAAATAAAATTAAACAAATAATTTGCAATAATTCCTTTGAAAACATACAAATTTGTAACATAATCACAATTGGCCTTTCTGTTGCAAGACAATCCTTTTACATCTCTCTAAGTTACTCACTAACCCACTCATCATAGTGATTCTTCCAAAGGTTTTCTCTCTCAGTGTTTATCTGTTTATGCCCCATTTCTTTAATGAGTGTTCTTCTTCTTGACATTTTTGGTAATTTCAGTCACCCCCCCACCCCTTATTGCTCACTCTTTTTTGTGACTCCTTTCCTTGGACTACATAAGTAAAAGCTAGAAAAATTGGATCCAAAAGTCTGTAGTTCAATAAAACTAAATACACCAACTATTGAGAGAAAGAGAGAGATAGAGATAGATAGATAGACAGAGAGAGAGAGAGACAGACAGACAGACAGACAGACAGACAGACAGAAAGACCTTATCTGGTAAAAAAGTGATTTTATAAACATTGGATTAGACCATCATTTTCACCATATATCACAATACATTTTAAATAGCATAAATATTTTAAATGCCACATAATAACATATTTGAGGAGAGTAGAAAGTTATATCTTTCACAGCTAGGAATGAAGGATAAAAGACACTACTGATGAGGCAGAAAGGGAGTCTTCAGAAAAGAAATAAATGCCTCAATACTGAAGTAAAAAAAATACTTTATTTGGCACATCTAACTCATAAAGAGGGTGGTCCTATATGTAATTTAACTGGGAGAATTTCAAGACTGAAAGCATGGATGGCAGTCAAGGACATTTGACAAAGTAAATGAAAGACAGAGAACCAAGTACACCACCAGGCTGTGGTCTTTCAGTTATAGCAGAAGAGAGACCATAATGATCCTGTAAGAGAAAATTACCTGAACTTTGTGCATTCTTATGCCAAGCTTTTAACAATCTTCCTTAGAGTGATGGGTGGGACTTCTGCATCTACTGCACTTTATGTATCCCAGGAATATAAGATGATATGGTATTCTATAGGGAGGGTTATGGTTTTCTCTCCTTCCTTCCTTCCTTCCTTCCTTCCTTCCTTCCTTCCTTCCTTCCCAATCGGGGTTAAGTGACTTGCCCAGGGTTACACAACTATTGAGTATCACGTGTCTGAGGCCGGATTTGAACTTGGGTCCTCCTGACTCCAGGGCTGGTGTTCTATCCACTGTGCCACCTAGCTGCCCCCATGGTTTTGTTAAAGTGCTTATGAATGATTTCTCATCTCTAATGTCACAGGGAGGGATGAGCCATTCAGCAAGGTTTTGTGGAAAGCAGATGTTTTTATGATCACAGACTCCTGAAAAGTGAGGGAGTGTCAAGTAGGAGAAGGGGAGGTTCAACTAAGGCAGAGAGAAGATTTTGGAGGAAGACTAGACCATTCTATTATAAAGGGAAAATCATAATTAGTCAATGAGAGAAAGACTAAAAAAGTCAGAACAGAAAATTTCAGTTATATAGCTTTAAACATAATTTTACAGAATTAAAACCAATGCACCTAGAATCAAAAAGAAAGATATGGATTGGAGAAAAAATAATGTACCTCCCCAACCCCTTTGAGTTATGGAACCTCTGTAGATCCTCCCTCCCCCCCCCCTTCCTCCCTCCTTCCCTGCATCTATGCCTACATGAAGATATATTCTTTGTGTCCCATAGGAATTATTCTTGATTCCTCCTTTCTGTCTCATTGTCTTTTTCTCTATCTCTGTATGTCTATCTCTGTTGTTTTTATTCCAGACCTGTGGTTTCATCAGTATCAGAAGCTACTAGGGAGGAAAATCCTTCTACTGAAGCAGGTGGGCAACTGTTCTGTAACATTTAGTCTTAGAGAGTTCCCGGGGGGAGTACTGAAAGGATTGATTATTTGTCCAGCATCACGCTGTCATTAATGTCAGAGGTGGAATTGGTAATGAGATATTTTTGACTCAGTATCTGACTGTCTATACACTCTGTTCTTACTGCCCCTCACTGCATTAGGTGTGTGTGTTATGTGTGTGATATATGTACATATGTGTATATGTAGGGAAGGGAATAGGCATTTATATGGCACCTACTGTATACCAGAGATTGTTCTAAGTATTTTATAATTATTATCTTATTCAATCTTCACAACTGTGGGAGGTAGGTGCTATTATTATCCCCATTTTACAGTGGAATAAACAGAGGTTAGATGTCTTGTTCAGGGTCACATAGCTAGTTAGGCTGAGGTAGGGTTTGAACTCAGGCCTTCTGGACATCACGCCCAGCACCCTGTGTACTGTGGCACCCCCTAGCTGCACTTAACCTCTTTGGGCCTCATTTTCTTTCATCTATCAATGAGCAGGGTGGACTCTGTTGCTTTCATTTCTCACTCTAGATCTCAGAACCCAAGAACTAGGGGCCCTTCTTCCAGCCCCTACAAGTGTGTAGGTAAGAACACAAGAAAAGGTAAGAAAATGACTATGCAATATAAAAGATATATATATAAATTTATAATTTATATATAAAATATTTCTCACATGGCAACATGGCTATTTTTGTCTTTTGTTGTATTATTATTAACTCATTTTTCTATTTTTCCTTTTAAAGTTATAGTATATAATTAATAATTTGTGATTAATATAGTATATAATTTTACAAAATAATAACTGATAGTGTAATTAATAATTACATTATATAATGTAATTTTATACATACTGAGCATTCAGAACACAATCTAATTATCATTGAGAGAGTTTCAGAGGCACAGAGACAAAGGACTAAGACAATTTTTTCCCTGAGAGATTATTAGTTAACAGCCATCTTGGAGACTGGCTGAAGAGTCACTTTGAGTAAAATGAGTCTAACTTATTTTGTGGAGAAGAAATTTTGAAGAAAATTCTCAATGGACTGAATTTTGTAGCTGAAAGAAATGTGTTCCTAGTGACTGTGGAAGAATCAGCATCTGTAATGTTGGAGGTGACTGACTTTTTAAACTAAAAAGTTGTATCTGCCTTCTCCTAGCTGATATGTTATTCAGATATTTAAATATGTCTTTGTATTGTTTGATACACTAGTGATAAATTGTGTAACAAAAATGCTGATGTTTAAGCACCTGAGACAGGAGCATATATTACATATGAAAGCTTTGGGGCAAAGGAGGTTTCTCCAGTTTATTTATAAAATGAGGTGGAAGATGACAATCAATTGATTAATGAGAAAGATTGTTTAGCTTTATTAATTTACATGGAAATATCAGAAAATTACCTTTGATTATCTTAGAACTTAGGATAAGAAGAATTGAGCCACTGCCAATTGAAGAGAAAACAGGCCTCCTAAGCCATGCATGGGGGTCTACTTCCTAAACCTGTTGCATGTCTATAGTTTTAATTTCCATTTAAAAGCCTTGGACTCAGGAAGCCTTTCCTTCATACCCTGTCTCAGACACTGTAACCCTGGGCAAGTCACTTCAGTTTTCTTGCTCTCAATGTTCTCATTTGTTAAATGGGTATAATAAAAGCATCTATCTCATAGGTTTGTTGGCAGGTTCAGATGAGATTTTCATGTGCACATATGTATGCGCACACATATATGTATACATGTATATGCATGTATGCATGAATATGTGTATTGCATACATACACCAATACACATGCATGTATGTGCATACATACACATATACATGTGTGTATATATATATATGTTATGTGAGAGGTACATCTAGTGTCTGAGGCAGGGTTTGAACGGTCTTCCCTTCATATATACGTGTGTGTGCATATGTGCACTTTGTCTACCTTAAAGTTCTGTATAAATGGTAGTTATTGCTATATAGGGACAGGAGCTGAGTCCTTCACTTCATTGATATAGGGATGTTCTAGGTGAGGGAACCCTCTTCCCTTGGACCGATGTAGGTCACCAGCTTCTTTGCACCTCGTGTCATAAGACAGTTGCCCAGAGCACTGAGAGGTTGAGTGGCTTGTCCCTGGTCACACAATAAGTGTGTGTCAAAGGCAAAACTTGTGTCCTCTCTACTGCCGCATACATTTGTTAACCTCTACGTCCATATGATGTAGAGCTCAAGTATATATTTGAAAGGGAGAGACAGAGGAGAGAGAGCAAGAAAAAGAGATGGAGAGAGACAGAGATCAAGAGACATGTAGAGACAGAGTGGGGAAGAAATGAGAATGATTCCTGGGTGCTTCCAAATCAGCTGCAGCAGTAACATCCCCCTTAGTCCATGCCTACTACTTGTGCCTTTTACTAACCTCTAGCTTTCCCCAATATCAGCTTTCTTAGTGCTCCTTTCACATCCTTGTTCCTCAGGGTATAGATGAGAGGATTTAACAGAGGTGTGACTATGGTATAGAAGAGGGAGACAAACTTCCCCTGGTCTTTGGACCTATTTTTGACTGGCTGCAGATACATGAAGATGATGGTCCCATAGAAGATGATTACGACCACCAGGTGAGAAGAACAAGTCCCAAATGCTTTACGACGTCCTGATGCAGATTTGATCCTCAATATGGCCTGGGTGATGTAGCCATAGGAGATCAGAATGAGAGAGACAGGCACCACAAGGAAGACCACACTGGCAACAAAGAGTTGGGCCTCATTAAAGGTGGTGTCTACACAAGCCAACTTGATCAACACTGGCACCTCACAGAAGATGTGGTCAAGCTTATTGTGACCACACAGGGGGAGCTGTATAGTGAGAGAGCACTGGATCAGAGAGGTGGCGAGGCCACTGAGCCATGCTGTGGCAGCCAGAGACAGGCAGAGCCGAGGATGCATGATGACTGCATAGTGGAGGGGGCGGCACACTGCTGCATAGCGGTCATACGCCATGACGGTCAAGAGAATGCATTCAGTGGATCCCAGCCCCATGGCCACATAGAGTTGAGCTATACACCCACTGTAGCTCATGGTCTTGTCTTTGCTTCTCATGGTGACCAACAATTGCGGAGCTACACTAGTGGTGAAGCAGAGGTCTAGGAAGGACAGGTTGGTAAGGAAGAAGTACATTGGGGTGTGCAGTTTGGGGTCCAGGCAGGACACTAATATGATGATTGTGTTCCCCACCAGGTTCAAGATGTAGAAGATCAAGATAACCACGAAGAGAACAATCTCTAACTGGGGCTTATCAGAGAAGCCCAAGAGAATGAAGTCCCCTGGAGAGCTGTTGTTTTGCTTCATTGACTTTCAGCACTGAGCTCCTGTTGGGATCCTAAAGGAGGATTAGGTGTTATCATGTGGCTGAAAAAAAGCTGAAACGAAGTAACCATGGTTAAATACAAATTCCTCTCCTCCAGTCTTTAGCTGTCAAGTGGCCCATTGAGAAGGGATTGCTGAGCTTTTTGAGCAAAGTAAAGCAAAATGAAACAGTGGCCTCCTAATGGAGCCCAGGTCCTAATAGAGGAAGAATGCAACCCAAGACCTTGCAGATAAGATTCCAAAATAAGTAGCAGCTTGGTGTACTGTAGTGAGAACTACCTGGAAGTCAGGGCATCTGGCTTTGAATTGCAACTCTGTCAAAAATGGTGTGTGTGACCTCAGGCAAGACATTTAGTCTCTTTGGGCCTCAGAGCCTTCATTTGCATCAAAGATAGGTTAGACTACATGATTTCCATCATCTTCTGTCCCTAAAATTCCATGATTCTGAATATTCAATTGTGTTAGGAAAATAAAAAAGCCAAATCAGTCATTTGACTTCTCATAGAGGAAAAAATGGATCGAATGCTCATTGTTACTTTTTAGTTGTTTCTTTTTGTGCACATAGTGGTAACGATGATAATAATAGCTAATGCTTTTATAGCATTTTAACAATTGTTATCTTATTTGATCCTCACAACAACTCTGGGAGGTAGATGCTATTATTATTTTCATTTTACAGATGGGGAAACTGAAGCAGGCAGAGGTAAAGTGACTTGCCCAGGGTCATATAAGAGAGTAAGCGTCTGAGACTGAATTTGAACTCATGTCTTCCTGACTGCAGGTCTAGCACTATATCCACTGTGCCACCTAGACAAGTTTCTGTGTTGAATGAAACTACTATCATTTCTTTTTTAATCAGCATTCAGTTTCAGGGTTTTGTTTTTAATATTGGATGTGATGAATGTGATATCAGCCTAAACATAAACATAGCCTTTGCTCTGTCTTTGTGGAAGAATTGAATCCTCCTCCTCCTCATCTTTAACATGAGTTGACTCAAACAGCTGATCAGTTTCCTAAACTATTAATCTTACTGACTTACTGTTGAGCCAGCTCATTCTGTGTTTGACCTGTTGTCATTATAACAATGTGACTGCATGCTTGAGTTACCACAGCGAGACTTGTACCACAGGGATTACCCACACTGAGACCAATAGTTTGTTATTAGAGCACATATTCTAGTAACATACAGTGACATATAACAACCGTGATTATTGCTCTGACTGCTGGTACTTCTGCTACTCTAATAATAAAAATTATTATTATTAATATCCCTGCCTACCTATCATACATCTATCATTATCTATCCTTACTCTGTGTCTATCTCTGTCTTTTTCTCCCTCTAGTCCTCCCTCTCTTTCTCTTTAAGATTAACAAAGTCTTTCCATATTTCTTTTTTTTTTATTTTTGTTTTTTAAGCAATTGAGGTTAAGTGACTTGCCCAGGGTCACACAGCTAGTAAGTGTCAAGTATTTGGTCTGAGGCCAGATGTGAACTCGGGTCCTCTGGACTTCAGGGCTGGTGCTCTATCCACTGTGCCACCTAGCTGCCCCCTGATATTCCATATTTCTTTACAGAAATCTGTGATCTACAGTGGCACAAGAAAAGAATAACAAATCAGTAAAGGGAAGAAAACGCTTGATTATTCCCTGGAATCATCACTAATAGTGTCTTCCCTGAGTAAGGCACTGTGTCTGATCCCAGTGGGTGTAATGGATCTTCAGATGATAATCTCTGAAGAGAACAACAAGCCCTGAAATACCAACCCAAGTCTGTTGGGACAGGCTTGGATGTGACTTTCATGAGTTCCCTGGCTCTCAGCCTTCTTTAAATGTCTCCTTCTTGTTTTCTGAAGATAGGAATGAAAATTGACAACATTAAGTCATCATTTACCAAAATGGCTCTAGAATATCCCTATCACATTGAATTCTCTTTTTCCCAACTCCTTGTGACCTAAGCAGAATTTACTCTCAAATACTAGGCAAATATGAGTTTATTAAATAGTATAGAGGGTAAAGGCACACTACATTCAGATTCTGCAGCCTTAGAGAAACTAAAATTTTAGACCTTTCCACACATGGCTGCCTCTGCTGCTGGATTCTGCCTCAGTTTCCTTAATTGTAAAATGGGGATAATAATAGCAACTACCTCATAGGTAAGACTCAAGTAAGATGTTATTTTTAAAGCATCTAGCACAGTGCCTGGCATATAGTAGGGACTATATAAATGCTTATTCCCTTTCCCCATACATTTTGACATGCCTACATTTTTACTATGCAACACTAGTGCTGCTATCTATGAGCAGCACATAGTTACAGTCAATAAGTGATGGTACTTTTCCAATACCGGGGGCTTCATGTCACCATGTCTGCTCTTCTGCATCAAATTAAGCCTTTTTGTGTCCGACAGGCTTAGTTGATAAGGTCAGCCTGCTAAAGAAATGGATTTGATGCCTTCCTGATATTATCACTTTTGGCCCATTCCAAGGCCATAGACTGCCTCCAGTCTCCTTAACTTGGTGGCTTATCAATTCATATATTTGATCAGTTGTGAAGAAGGAAGATTTTAGGAAAGAGTATTTTGAGTTCAAGAAGCAGTGTGACATGGCTAGAGAACTGGTCTTGGAACCATGAGGATCAATGTTTGAGTCCTATCTGATGCCTAATGGCTATTTGACTGCCTAAATCATCTAGTCTCTCAGAGCCCTGGGCAATTCTTCAAGACTAGAAGTTCCAGAAAAGGAGTGTTAGAATAGGGAGTTTCCTCATGTTGATGAAGCCACAAGGTGCCTCCCACAAAAAAAAAAAATACTGTTAATGTAGCATAGTAAGGTCTCACAGTTAGAAAGAAAATTGAAAAAGAGTATCCTATTATGGCAGTAACTCAACTAAATGAATAGTCAATTCTGAGAAATTTGAGCATTCTCTTTTTTTTATCATTATGTTGGAGATATGTTTTCTCCCCTTCAATCTCAAAAAGACATACTTGTTTGTACTCCACAACTGCATTCAATCAGCATGAATTAGCTCTGTTTTCCCTGACCCTTTTCCTCTTTCTTTTATTTCCTTAACATAAAAATCATCAGTAGCAACAGTAATATCAGCATCCTGGAGTTTGGATGGCTCTTAATGACATTGGACTTGAACTGCTTTTATTTTAGTGATGACACTTCAGGGCAAAAGAGATTGCAATAATTCATCTAGAGCTCCCACGGTGTTAATATCAATGATATTAATAGGAGCTGTAATGGTAGTAACCCATCATTCTAATGGTGCTCTTTTAGACTTTTTCAAGGCATTAAGCATGGTTTTATACCCATTTTGTCTATCATAGATTAGTAAATGCAGTCCAAAAAAATGAAGTCATTTGCTCAAGATCACATTGCAGGTTAAAGATTCAGGTGCCCTGGCTCTTCTATCATACCCACTGTCCCTTATATCATGCTCAGACTGTCATATTTGGCAGCAAACTGTGATTCTCTGACCTTCAGATCTGAAGCTTGTGTGGATGGGGGAACTGTCTTTTTTTTGTCACCAAATGGAGTCACTGAGAGAGTTCAATTCCTCCCAGAAAACCAAAACAGCAACTTGAAGTATTTTCTGCATGTCTTGTGTCCAGTGTATCTGAAATGTGCTACTTGAGCCTGATTACTGTATTTATGAATCCATTAACCTTGTCAGAATCAAAGAATTTTACTTTTAATATACTTTAAAAGACAGAAGGGAATTGAGTAATTTCAAACTTGATTCTGACCTAGTGGGGCAAGATTGCAAATATGCCTCTGGGGGAATGAAATGGAGTCGAAAGAAATTTAAAGCATAGGGATCAATGGCACTGCCACTGCCCTATGGAGCACTCAATGATCGAACTTTAAAGTGGCTTCAAAATTAGAAAATAAATAAATAAAACCTTTTAATTAATGCTGATTTCCACTGCTTAGCATAATGCTCGGCACATATTAAGCACTTAACAAATGTTTATTTGAGTGATAGCATTATCTGTAGAATGGGGATGACAAGAGCACCAAACTGACAAGGTTTTTGTGATGATTGAGTATATGTGCGTGATACGTATGCACATACACATGCATATGTACAAATATGTATTTTGTGTTATAATTTATACACATGTGTATATACATATGTATATACAATACATATATGCACATGTATATATTATATGTAATACATGCACATATAATATATACACGTTTGCAAGCCTTAAAGCATTTCATAGTTATTATTGTTAGTGATAGTAGTCATAGTGGCAGCAGCAGTAGAAATGATAATAAGCTAACTTCTTCATCTATAGCTAGGTCTAACCTCTCTCACGAGCTTGACAATCTCATCACAAGTGTCTGCTGGCCATCTTTACCTAGATGCTTGGTGTCTCAAGTTGAGGGTTTACAAAATAGATATTATTTTCTATACTCCACTTCCCCCCCAAAAAAAGCCCCCTCTTTAAACTTCTCAGCAAACTCTAGATCAACATTGAACTTCCAGTCACTGTTACATAATCTGGGAGTCATCGTTGACTCTTTCCTCTCTTCCATCTCCTGTACTGATTCAGTTGTATGTCTTATAAACCGTTTCTACCACATCTCTCAAACCCATCTCCTTCTCTGCATTCAAATTGTTAGTACCATGTATTAGGCCTTCATCAACCTTTGCTTGGAAAATTGCAATAACTTGGAATTGGTCTTTTTCATTTCATCTCTCTGTTCACCAATACACATTCTATAACACTACCAAGATCATCTTCCTAAGGCATATGTCTACCTATATCACTGAATCTGCTCAATATTCCTCAAAAGATCCCTATTCCTGTGAAGATAAAATACAAAATTCTATATCTTTGCATTTAAAGTGCCACACAAAATACCTTTCTTCCACCTTTACCATCCTATTTCACATTACTCCCTTCACATGCTCTCTGTTATTGACCTACTAAAAGTGCTCTGCATTCAGAACTCTCTCCCTTACTTCCCTGCCTCTGTACAGCTGTCTTCTATGCCTTGTAACTCCTCTTCACCTCTCCTATTAGAATACTTATTCCTTCAAGACTCACCTCTGGGGGCAGGTAGGTGGCACAGTGGATAGAGCACTGGCCCTTGAGTCAGGAGGACCTGAGTTCAAATCTGGCCTCAGACACTTAACACTTACTAGCTGTGTGACCCTGGGCAAGTCACTTATCTCCATTGCCTAGCAAAAAAACCAAAAACAACAACAACAACAACAACAACAAAAAAAAAAAACAAACAAAAACAAAAAAAGACTGACCTCTGGCGCCACCTTCTACTCAATGCCTTTCCCGACAGTCTACTGTTGGTGTCTTCATTCCCTCAGTCCCCAAGATCACAGACTTCTTATTCCAAGTCCAGCACTCCAAACATTACACCACACCACTTCAACTTGAGTTTGCTCATTTGGGTATGTTACATGCCTCCATTAGAATGTAAGTTTCTGGAGAAAGTGACTTTTCTTTTGATCTTTATGCCTTCATCACCTGGCATAGTATCATTCATATATTAGATGCTTAAGAAATGGTTCTTCACTTGAATTCAATTAAATTCACCAAACAATTACCACTTAGGATATTCAAGACCCTGTGAGAGGTATTGGGAATACAAAGAGCAATAGGAAGCAATACCTGTACCTTGATGCAAAGTGTACTTAAGGAGGTAAAGTAGTCATTTTAAAATCATTTTATCATTCTATCATTTTAAAAGTGATACAGACCAGTTTCAAAAGGAAGAGATGGCTCTGAAGTGGGGGATCCAGGAAGTGTCTTGTGTGGAAAAAGGTACCTTTTATGGGCTTGGTAGTAAATTAGAGATTTTCTGAGGCAGGAAGGCATGTGGAGCTGATGGGCTTCACGTACAGCAGATTGACAGAAGCAGGAGATGGCCCATAATGTATTGAGAACAGATATCAGGACCATTTGAACTCAGCAGAGAGCAAATGAAAGAGAGTCATATGAAGTAAGACTGGGAAAGAAGGCTGCAGACTGATTAGGAAAGGCTGGTCTGAGACATTTGTTTGTTATGCTACGTGGAATG